TCCAGATCAATGTTGAGACCCTTTTTAGCATAGGTTTGTAACATATATCCACATCGTCTCTTTTTGGCACACCTTCTGTACCAAAAAATATATAAAGGGACTGTACCAAGTTTCCCTTTCTAATATCCTCCTTCGCTACATCAATGCCAAAGCATAGAAATGGTTGTATATTAAAAATAGAGCAATTGTTACAGTGTCTATGCTATAGCTCATAAGTGCTCTAGAACACGTTCCCTAATAGTCCTGATGGTCCATTCTACACCGCATGTGCACTCAAGGGTTCACACCCTGTGCACCTGGGGTGAACCCCCTACTATATGTTCTGCACTGTGCTGCTGAGTGGAGGCATGCTGTTGCAGCCTCTGTTTAATGGGTGAGTCCCAGTCTATTTTATTTGGTCACTGTTGAAGTTACAACCCTGCAGGGGTTTCTGTGAGCATTGCCTGCTACTATGGTAATCTGGTCTGTTTGCCCTGCATCCTGAAATTGCCTACTAATTTGTGCCTTCTACAGGGGTATCCCATATCATGATAAATCTACCTGTCTGCTTTTTTGGGTGAGCCCCAATTCTGTGTCATACAATTTGCCACTATGGAAGATTCCCTGGCTAACCCTGTGGAATTTCAGGTCATGATACACACAACGGTACCTGCATTCGTGGAGAAAACACTCTGAAACTGTCACGGTTCTCACCTGATAGACAGACGGCAAGACGTGGTCGCTCTTGGAGTTCCCAACAGGGGACTTGAACCGGGGATCTTCTCAGTCCTGGTCCTGCTTTCTACCTCTGAGCCACAGCAGCTATTTACAGTGAAGACTGATTCCAGTCCTGTTCATCCTGACATGGCTACTACTCTGGGGGCTGCACCTTGACTTGGCTGTGTTTCACCTGACTCTGATCAGTCATCAGCAGGGTATATAAACCCAGCCTCGCCCTGTGCTCAGTGTCAAGTCTTTGATCCTGTTTGTTCTAGTGTTCCTGTTTCATCGCTTCGCATTATTGACCCCGGCTTCCTGACTCGTTTATTCTGACTTCTGGCATCCCTTGACTTCGGCTACTCCTCATTGTTCCTGTCCTCTGGCATCCTTTGACCTCGGCTATCCCTCGACCATCCTGCTGGTTCAGTCCTTGCCTGTCCTGCGTATTGGTACTGCATCCTGCACAGCCCCCGTGCACAGACCCACAGGCCAGGTGAATTCTTACCTGACCACCTCGGCCTGTGGCTATCTGCAAGGGTGAGCATCATATCTGCGCTACAGACTCCCAACTCAGGTAAGACCCTGACAGAAACGCACTGACAGGAGGGCCGTTCTATTCACCGGTATCAGACACTACAGGGTGGACTGATGCCTGGGATGTCTCCGCTAAGGGGTCCCCCCATCATAGCAAGTGCCACTGGAATGGCGAAGACACTAGACCTCTACGGTCTAAGGACAAAGCACTCGCCAAATGCAGTACGCGGACTCCGGCACCTGCCCTGACCCCACGGTTAGACCCCTCCTCGGATGAGGACTGAAACATTATCTGTCCATCACGGAACAAAGGCACGCAGAGGCATTGGTGTCTGACGACTGGGGTTCGGAATCCACATACGGCTCCGCATTTGTGTACATGTTTTTCTGGGAGAGCCCCAGGTAGCCGAGGGTGACGGTGCCTTGCATGCTACTGACCAAGAAGACACGAAAGCAATCCTGGATCCTACTGGTCAATGGCTGTGTAACATACAACATCCATCACCCACGTTCAAGCAACTGGTCCCCTATTGAACACCTGGCCAACTTTATGCACCTGTGGCTTTGCAAGCCTCTAGATAAGGATGTCTGTGACTACTTGCGGTCGTACTGCCCATGCCCTTCCCTCCCAGACAGAATGGCACAGATGCCTGTATTTGATCAGCGTATGATGGGTGGCCATGACCCCGCAAGGGAGTCAGGAGAGGTTTCAGAGACACCCAAGACAAATTGACGGACTCTATTGACCCGCTCTCAAGGGTAAAATACCTGACAATGCTAGCACCGTCTGGGAATGGGCTAAGAGATGTTTCTGTTTCGTCAGAAACACCAATGTTTGCCTCTCCTATGAGAAGAGCATAGCAGCACTCCTCCATATTTATGGATAGTTGGCGGATCTGGGCGCCAAAATATTGGGACCCCAGGCATAAGGCACACTCTTTCCTGAGGGAGCTTATTACACACATTTATGTTCCCGCTTCCCTCATCAAGACCCAAACCTCCATGAGGAAAGTGTTAAGTGGTAACCTCCCTAGGGGGTGTTCTACAGGACTGGTCGACAGTGGGACCATGTCGCCAACCACTTCGGGCCATCTGACCCTTGTACCTCACTATCACAAACTCTTTACCCGAAGTGCGCGAGACAACCTTTTGGTGCTCCAGATGATAGGACAGAGAACATGGAAAGCGCAGATGCGCTAGATCCAGTTTTCCTCAGGTAAGCACCCCTAAGGTAGCATCAACTGTACTTTTTACAACGCCCACATTAGATACCATCGCTTCTAGGTGGAAGGCATTCAAATTTAATAAGAAACCTTTTTTCACGTAGACGACTAGCTTGTGAAACTGGATATGAAGACATGTTTGATCGGTCCTTTTCCACCCCTCTTGACGTTGTTCTCTATGTTTTCAGTGACGCAATCAACCTTGGCACTTGACCTGCCTCCTCAGCTCGGATCCTTGGGGCTTCATGAAACTAGTGAAACCAGTGTTCAATTATGTATGGGGAATGTGTTGCATTATTTACCTGCTATCCTTCTGTTCGGTTCATAGAAAATTTAAGACTGCGTCAATATTCGCGATTCTCCACGTTCCCGCTGGAATTATTGTGTTTCATAGTGGATGGTCCACTTCTTAGGATTCGTAATTGACTCCGCGTCTTGCACACTGAATCTTTCCCCTTCAAAGGTCTCCCCTATCCTCAAGGAAATTTGCACCATCCTCCACTGCAACACCGTGACCCTTCACACACTCGTATGGATCATGGGCTACTGCCCTCCTCCATCCAGGATCTCCCCGAGGGCGGACTAATTCCTGGGGGAGACACATCCAAAGGTGCTTCAACTAAGTACATGTCACAGATGAAGTTATCCTTACAGTTAGGAAAGCGGATACCCACAAAATGAGGGTTCAAACAGCTGTGTTAACAGACAGAATCAAAGTCAGGAATAGCCAAGGTTAGTAATACAGAAATACGGAAACACGAAGAACAATCCAGGTCAGGAATATATAAATACACAGGTCAATATACAGATCAGGTCAGGATGATCGAATTACACAGGTCAATATACAAGTGAGGTTGGGATGATAGAAATACACAGGTCAATATTAAACTGAGAAGAAAAATACAAAGTGATCTGTGTAAAGGTGCATATTTAAATATTAAAGATTAGCAACTACCACAAAGTGTGAGTATCTCCTTCACAGCACACGCTATAGAGCATAAGCGTGTGCAAAGGGTGTGCCGGGTGTGCCTGGGCACACCCTAATCCCCGCAGCACGCCTATGTATTGAGACCGGCAGGGGAGATCTCAGGATCCTCCCTGTCGGCTCATGCAGAGCCGGCGCAATCCGAGCGCCGGCTCTGCTCTCAGCCTCCTGCTCTCAGGCAGGAGAGGACCCGGGAAGCTCAACCAGCAGTTCCGCCAGGTTCCTCTCGCGAGTTCTGACCGCTTCCGCGGCAACGCTCAGGTCTCGCGAGAGTGAACTCCAGCCCCACAGGGGCTAGAGTTCACTCTCCACTGGACCACCAGGGAAAGCAGCAGCATGTTCCCCCCTCCCTACATAAGGTAAGAAGGGAGGGGGAATATTAAGTAATGTACCCCCACCTCCACCCCCACAATCACCCACACACATACAGCACACACACCCACACACACACAGCCCCCACACACACAGCACACAGCACCTTCACATACAGCACACACACACAGCACCCACACACACACGCACCTTCACACACAGCACCCACACACACACAGCACCCTCTGACACACAGCACAGAAACAGCACCCTCACACACACAGCACCCACAGACACAGCACCCTCTCACACACAGCACAGAAACAGCACCCTCACAAACACACACACACAGCACCCTCACACACACAGCACAGAAACAGCACCCTCACAAACACAGCACACAAACACCCTCACACACACACCACACTAACAGCACCCTCACACACACACACCACACTAACAGCACCCTCACACACACACACCACACTAACACCCTCACACACACACACACACACCACACTAACAGCACCCTCACACACACACAGCACCCTTACACACACAACACCCTCAAACCACTCTCATGCAGCACACACACACATGCCAGGTTCCTCTCGCAAGTTCTGACCGCTTCCGCTGCAACGCTCAGGTCTCGCGAGAGTGAACTCCAGCCCCACAGGGGCTGGAGTTCACTCTCCACTGGACCACCAGGGAAAGCAACAGCACGATCCCCCCTCCCTACATAAGGTAAGAAGGGAGGGGGGATATTAAGTAATGTACCCCCACCTCCACAATCACCCACACACATACAGCACACACACCCACACACACAGCACCCACACACACATACACACAGCCCCCACACACAGCACCTTCACATACAGCACACACACACAGCACCCACACACACACACACGCACCTTAACACACACAGCACCCACACACACAGCACCCACACACATAGAGCACCCTCTCACACACAGCACAGAAACAGCGCCCTCTCACACACACACACAGCACCCTCACAAACACAGCACCCTCACACACACAGCACCCACACACACACAGCACCCTCTCACACACAGCACAGAAACAGCACCCTCACAAACACACACACAGCACCCTCACATACACAGAAACAGCACCCTCACAAACACACACACAGCACCCTCACACACACAGCACACAAACACCCTCACACACACACAGCACACTTACACACACAACACCCTCAAACCACTCTCATGCAGCACACACACACACAGTAGTATATGTATGTATGTGTGTGTGTATATATATATATATGTATATATATATATATACATACATACACATACACACACACACACACATACATATACACGCGGCGTGTGTTTGTGCTTTAGGGTGCACACCCTAACACAATAGGCTGCGCATGCCTATGCTATAGAGTAAGTGGATGTAGAGAAACGGAGTGGAAACCAGTTACCACCTGTGATAGTAGTGGAGTGCTAAGTGAAGTTTTTTAGAGCTCCACTACTATCACTGGTGATAACTGGTTTCCACTCAGTTTCTCAATATCCACTTACTCAATATACAAGTGAGGTCAGAATACCAAAAGTTCTCAAAGTCAAAATGAAGCCAAGGTCAATAACAGGAATATACAAGAGAGCTGCTTGAAGCACTAAATGTGTAACCAAACAGAAACCACTATAGAGCAATGAGTGAGGGTCTATACAGGTTCACGTGTTCTGACTGGTCCACGTCATCTCTTTAACTCCAAACAGCATCGTCTGTCTGCAGAGTTTAGAGGCTTGGTGCTGGAGAATGCAGAGGAGCTATTTGCCGGCACTAAAGAAGTAAGTGTATTTCTCCCCACTGGCAGTGGTCAGATCGCGTAATCAGACCACGTGGCTAGAGGGCAGCTGCTTGGCACGGAGCAGGTAAGTACTGAGTTAAGCGTCTGAATACTTATGTCAATGTTATATTATTTCATTTTCCTTTTAAATATATTTGCAATGGTGTGAAAGAGCTGATTCTTGCCTTTTCCTTATGGGGTGTTGAGTTTAAATTTATGTGGGGGAATTTTTTTTATTTTTTTTTGCAGCATAAGAATATCACAGAGAGTGAAAAAAAAGGGTTTTGAATACTTTCTGAATGCACTGTACTGTTATATATTTCTTACAGGGTAAATGGAGGAGTCTGTATTTAAACAGATACATTAGACGTGTACTGCATTATAAGAGTAAGTATATCCCTTTTTTTCTACTGGCTTTTGTTTTTACAGATAGGATTTGTAGCTTGCTTGGATTGAGTTCCCAATAAGTCTTCCAGCAATGAGGAAACTTGGCCCAATCCAACCCTTCCCTAATCGTGCCCATCTACTCTTCTCATAATCACGAGACAATTTCACCTTCCCATGATCATGGCCATCTAACCTTTCTGTGATCACGACCTAGGTCTCTGCTTTCTCCTAATTATACCATTCCATTTTACTCAATCATGACCACTGTTCCACCTTCCTTTGTTCATGACCAGGTTCTCCTTTTAATGTAGAAGATTTCCACCTCTCGTGATCCTCCTTACACCAGTTCAGTTTTTAATCACACTCCTTTGTCGCCCAGTATTACACACCAAAACCAAATTTATTGAGAGTTCAAAAGTGTAATACGAACTCACAGTGTCACCACCATCTTTTTCCAGAGCTCTACTTTCTCCATCTCTCAAAACCTCTATGGCCCATTACCTTTCACTCACCGATTGCCTTACTGGTATATTGTTCCTTGAATCCCTAGGCATATTCATCTTTTTCTTACCAACACTCATTCTATTTGCTTATGCCCCCACGCACACTCCATCTATCTTTTGCTAGTATTATTTTCTTCTGCTTCAAATTCGTCTTACTTTTTCATTATAAATTGCAACAATTACACTTCTCCCATACAACTGACATCGTAACACTCAGATTTAATCCTTACAAATACACAAGCAGTTTAATAACATGGCTCTGAGGTGCGTGACCACTTGAAATGCAGATCATTTTTTACATTACTTCAGCTGAATCAACCCATTTTATGTCAGATCTTTTCATGTAATATTTGAAAGCTAAGGATTTGAGGGGTGTGACATTTGTGTGGATATGTGTGTGCCTCAGCAGCAATGGGTTACCCTTGTTTAAAACCAGTGGAAACATTCACAGGAGTCAATGGATTGCATTAAAATGAGGAGCTGTCAGGGATCAGAAATTGCGATGCTGTCAGGAGCCTAGACATATGTCAACATTATATCTTCATTAGAGTTTCACACAGGCGGCGGCAGAGTGTCCTGAGACAAAGTGTCTGTCCCCTATTGTTTATGCACATCACAAACATTGCACAGATAAGGTGTCAGTAAATAATGCATTCTGCCCCTATAACACACAGAACAGAAAATCATTTAAAGTGCCACTATCACTATCAAATTCTGGAGACTTTGCAGAATTTGTGAAGACCCATGACGGTGACATTGCTGCTGGGGGATGGGGGGGGGTACAGGTAAAGGTGAGTTCTACTTACCTGAACCTATCCTTTGTGTGCCCTGCCATCTTCCTCCGGCAGGTCCTCTCCAGCTACAGCCGACGTTACTGCTGTACTCTTGCGCATGCACAAGATTGCAAAACTGAGGTCTATCCTCCATAGACAGAGCCAATTCCCTGAAGTTGTCCCTACTTTGTATCAGTATATCTCTTGATTGGATTGGAATTTCAGTGAAATACCAACTCAGACAAAATGACTATTTCCTAAAGATTATATGTTTTTATGAAATAAAAATTTTCAGAGATGGTGACAAACATTCCACCCTTATCACAATTTCTGCATAGGGCAGCTGGTTAGAGTAATAAATATTTTGCCCTTTTTATATACCGAGCAGGGGGTCAGTATAATAAACTTTTTGCTTCCATTAAATACTGAGCAAGCAGTCAGTATTATGCTTTTCCCTATGAAACATACTATCCTGAACCGAGTTTCAGGATAGTAAAAATGTTGCCCCATATCACACATGCCGCACAGAGCATGGTGTCAATCAATATAAGAAGCATGCGGAACAGTCCCAAATTGAGAGCCCTGTCCCACCTGAATCTTTTCCCTGGACTCTGGTGTATATTCTCTGAATAGTGCTGCAAAGATCCCAGTGCTCTGTGAACGAACAGCAATAGTTGATGGCAAGACTATAAGCAGCCGTGACAATATTCTGTTGCCTTATACATACTACACAGAACATTGTGTTGCATTAATAAACAGACTTGACACCCATCACTGACACTAAAGTCTGTTCAAAAAGCCCAACACAATGACTGTCACATAGTAAAGTGCATTTTAATACTGCGCATACTGAATAAATAATTGTGCATCTCAGTATCACACTGTGCATGTCTGTTTAAGAAAATAACAGTGTTTTTATAAGATGTAGAAAAATAAAAAAAAATATAAAAAATGATGTAGCCAAAGGTTACATGTTTCTCAATATTTTCTAGTTGAAGAATAGTGGGGTTATTCACTAAACCAGAATTTGTAGAGTACTACATAACTAGAGATATACATGTCAAAAGAGCAATCAACACTTTTTCAACTTCTCCCATTGTCTTGCCCCATGAGGTTTCCCCTTGATCCTATCCCTTAACATCTTATTTGCTTTCTGTGACCGTCACCCCGAGTGAGGAGGGGTATTTACCGCCAGAGAGGTCCTTTTGCCCTAGTCTGGGTAGTGCTGCAGTATTCTCCAGTCGATATTCAAGCAGACCATGAATCCAATATATTAGTAGAGCTCTTATAAGAGCTAATGGTTATAACAGTATAGCTGTTCCCTACAATCATGAGACGAGGCTACGTGTTGAGGGTTAAGTGAACTAGTTTTAATGGTAGCCACACTGGCCTTTTATACAATTCCCCATGCAAGGAGCACTCCCATATGGACCTTGTGGGGGACTACAATATAAAATTACAGACAGATAACAACAGGGTTATAATGTATGACACTCCCACACATAGCATACAATTGAAGATTATGCTAGCTTTAGTGTACTAATAATCTTAATTTTAATAAGGACAGGAGGCGAGTATTTTGCATTAACTCTCTTTACTAAACTCCACAGCAGTAAAGAAAACGTAAAGAGTAACAAATAAATCACTGAGCAGCATAGTATATAAGGGTCATGCTGCCTGTACACTTCCTCTTTCTTAAAGCGACATCCAAGTCCAGATAGAGCTCGAACATCCAGAAACTCAACGAAACAGTAACTGCGGTCTCTGGCGAGCGGAACTTGAGGAGACTCCTGGTAACGAGATAGGAGGAAAGACCAAACGAAGCCGTCATCCCATCTTACGGAGTCGTGAGGTTAACGAACCAGCGACCAGTGGAGGTCCTGAAGAGGGTTACACTGAAAGGAGAGTATAAAATCGGTTAGGTACTGAACCGTAACTGTTCACGCCTGTGGGTTTTAACAGAATGGTGTAAATTAAACAGTACAGACAGATTGTAAGCTGGCCATAGGCTAAATATGTGTTAGGTGTAAGCATGTTGTACAACTAAGCTGTCCGTCTAGGTGGAAACACTGGGGATAGAGATGGAAGGGATACCGAATATGTCCAGAAGATAGTGTAACTACTAACATGAATCCCAAAATCCATCACCTTAAGATCCACTCCCCCGAGGAGTCAGGGTAGGGAACAAAAGGGAGGGAAAATACTCGCCTCCTGTCCTTATTAAAATTAAGATTATTAGTACACTAAAGCTAGCATAATCTTCAATTTTATAACATGACAGGAGGCTTCCTATTTTGCAATTTTAACGCTGAAGAAGTGACATCCCAGCAGAAGGGGGAGTGCGAAAATAAAATGTACGGAAAGTGGATTCCCTAGACCAGTCCGCCATTCGGAGAATATCCGAAAGGGACGCCCCTGCCAGGAAGGCTGATGAAGCCGCCGCACCGCGAACGGAGTGGGCGCCGAACGCGGGATCTATACCTGCGAGGGAAAGGATCCAGCGGATCAATCGGGCCAGTGTGGTGACCGAGACTGGGGCGTGAGGGCGCACGTAGGAGACTAGGAGTTGGCCCGACGTAGAGGATCTGAGCGAGGAGGTAACGGAAACATACCTGCGAAGGGTGGACACGACACAGAGTTGCGGGTCGTCGGGGAAAAAGGGGTAGAAGACCGAAGTCGAACCCGACTTAGTGCGACGGGAAATGTGGAATGTGACCCCTTCCGGGGCCACCTCGAAAGCGTCCACGTCGAAGGCCCTAACGTCCGAAACCCGTCGGAAAGATACTAGACAAAGGAGAAAAGCGCACTTAGCGGATAGTTGGCGTATGGAGAGGCGGTCATTCGGCAGCCAATCCCTGAAAAAACGGAGAACCAGTCCC